TTATTGAATTTATTTGGATCGTATTTGTAAAAACATCAATCTATTACAGTGGCGTGTTGTTCCTCCTGCTTTAAGTGACAATTCCAAGGGAATCCGAACGTTCTCACATGAGAAGCATTATATTCTTTCCCATGAGCTCAAAAATCTTTACGTTGCCATAATTAGAGCTCGACAGCGCATATGGATATTCGATGAAGATCTGAACGGGTGTGACCAGTCCAGAAGTACTGGGAGAATCGTAACCTCGTCAAAGTAATTCAAAACCTTGATGAAATTGGTACCATGTCCGCTCTGGCGAAGAAGAGCACCAAAGATGAGTGGAACGAACAAGGAAAAGCTTTTTTCGAAAAACAAACATACGATCTGGTGACAAATCGTTTCAGAGTAGCCATTGTTTTGCAATGAACCGAGCTAATTATGTTGACTTACATTATTTAGGCTGTTTTCTGCTTTAGAAAGGGTAAAGATAATATTAGATATGACTTGGCCAATGCATATCGTCTTCAGCAGATCGCCAAGTCATCCGAAAATAGTTCTGATGTCGCTACTATTAAACAAAATTTCATTGCTGCTGCAGCGGCGTTCAAAAAATGTTCCCGGCCTATTCAAGAAGCTTTATGTTATGAGGTAAATATTAGTGTCTTATATTTGGTTGATGATAAACATGATGTATGAAGTAGCTGGTAAAATTTATGCAGAATGCGACAAGTTTGAAGACGCTGCACGCTGCTTTTTTGACGCAAAAATCTGGCATACAGCGGGAGAATATTATGAAAGAGCAAAGAAATATACTGAAGCTGCGGAGGCTTATACAAACGGTGGTCACTGTGACATAGTAATCGATTTGGTGCAAATGTAAGTTCATAGGATAATGTACATTTAACTGTCGAGAATGAAGCTGATACTCATACGCCAATAAAAGGTATAGGCAAGAAATCGACACGACAAGCTTCTCACGTACGATTCGTGTTGTATATACTTACTATCGTCGGAGTAAAAATGAGACGATGAGAGACAAGGCGCTTTCTGATTTCCTGGAACTTTGTAAAAAGAATGCACAATTTCGCGTCGCAGCCGAACACTTACGCTCTCTTGGGTAAATTTGAAGAAGCATCTAGCATGTTCGCCCGCTCAGCCGATCATGAAGAGAACGTTATGGGAGTTATGGGAGCACTACAATGGTCTTCTGGAGTTATACAATGTCTTCTGGGGTTATGCAAAATCTATGTGTTGAACAGGATAATCATGGGTTATTACATTCATGATCCCAATGATACTTCATCAAATCTGCAGGTTCAATCTTTTCGATATATCTGTAAAGAGCAGAAGCATATACTTTCTTTGGTTTCACATCATTAACTTGAATCAATTTCCAGCAATCAAGACAAATCGCCATATGAGTTTCGTAAATTCTAGGTCTGTAGTAGTCGTGATTGACTAGCTTAGAATTTCCAAATCCACCATATAAATAGTGTATGTGATATACGCTTCTTTTCTTTTCAGAGACTTGCTCTTGTAAAGGAACTCTGACCCGAATAGCCCATTGTTGTGGAGTTTCATTGGGTCGAATAACAGATAAAGTATCATATTGTCTTTCAATCTCAAAGATTTTATCGAAGAATTGTTGATAATCATTAATACCAAAATATTTGTAGATATATGACTCTATATATTTCATATCATATCCCGGTCTATTATTAATGAGTTTCTGTGATTTAGTTTTTTTATCAATAATAATAGGAATATTAAGACCTGACATATTTGGTGATTTATATCGTATTTAGGGATTTAGACCTATTAGATTTAATAACTTTATACTCTAGAATATTGCGGTTCAATTTTATATTTAGTGCAGATTGGATTCTCGAACCATCTCTTCAAGAGTGTTATAATCGTCATATCTTGCGAGTGATGTATACGATGAGAATGGGAGAGATGCATATTGGGTTGCAGCGAGAATTGTAGACCCGAAGGGTCATTGCTTTGCAATAGTTTAGTGCTGATATTCTAAAAATTTATTTGTGGCGATATTTATGTATAAATCGCTCGTGTATATATTGTATATATTATGTATATATAATATGATCTATTTTTGACATGTGGAATCCATTTTGGGATAATCGTTGCATGATCTATTTCGGGTGTGGAATCTATTTTGGGTATTAGTATACTAATTAATTTTCCGGTGTGACTTAATACTCTATTATACACGTATTAGTATGCCTGATAAATAATGCGTAATTATCCGAAAAAATTGAATATGCTAGTGAATATCGAGTTGAGTTGGTCAACGACATTAATATTCGAAATCAATAGTCTACGTTTTCACTGTTACTATTTGGATTGAATTTTGATAAGCCTCCCAGCATTTGAGACGATAAGTTTTTGTATTAACATAATCTCCACTACCCATTTAAGAGAAGCGGGATTTCAAGGGAGGAAATCTGCCGAGCCCTAACCCATATGATGACAGTTTCTTTCCCGCTACTCACTATTACTACCTAGGTTATTTGTTTTACTATCGATCCATAAACCAATTTGATCTAAAGTACTAATATAACCATCCCGACAATTCACTTGACTTTGTTCATTCATGGTCGGTGATAACAAATTGCCTTAGGCAGTTACATAATAACTATAATCTGGCTTCGAGTGAAAGTCACGAGAAGGCGGGATATTTCTTTCATAAAACCCTTGTACTGTCGTCTTCTTAATATTCCCTCCCAATGATCGAATGTCGATAGCTACAGAAAGACACATCTCCTCTAAACTAAATTTTTTGTCGGCCTTGATCTGATCAAAAGTTTGCTTAAATCGACCCCAGACGGTTAAGCTGATACCCGTGAACGTTAATTGTCCCGAGCTTGCAAAGGAATGATTTGAGGCTTGACTCATCACGCTTTGTTGATCAAACTCAATCTCTTCGGTTCTTAGAACCATCGCATAACGCTGATTTATTTCACTTTGGAGAGTTACGATAGAAGCATTGATTGATTCGAATTTGGTTGCGACTCTACCAAAATTGTTATGGTAGTTTTGAAGAACCTGTTCAATCTCATCAAGTCTCGCAGTAGAAGTATTAAGCATTGTCAAGATTCTTTGGACCTCCGCTGTAAAGTTTTTCATCAGCACAATTTAAGAAGAAACATCCCCCAAAGTGGCCTCAACTTGAAGAAGCTATGACAGTGTGGCTCGATCGTATCTTCCTCGGGAATCAAGACATCGATAGTGCGGCCATTTTGAACAAATCTGTTACATTTGCCGAACGACTTGGAATCGTAGACTTCAAGGCATCTGAAGGCTGGTTAGATGGTTTCAAAGAAAGACATGGAATTTTGTCATATCTAAAGCATGGTGAATTGTCGAGTGCACCATCTCAGGAAGAAATTGAGCAAGAACGTCTAAAATTGTGGCAAATTATAATGAATTGGGAACTAGACGACGTTTTTAATTGCGATGAGTCTGCATTGTATTGGTCACGAGAACCCAGTCGTGTTCTTGCTCAAAGCCGACTCAGCGGAAAGAAATTATCAAAAGAGAGAGTCACAATTTTTCTTGCTACGAACGCTACTGGGTCTGAGAAACTGCCATTAGTTTTTATTAACAAAAGCAAGTCACCACGATCACTCAAAGGCGTAAACCATCAAAACCTACCTGTTGATTATTATTGAAGCTCTACTGCTTGGATGCAAGTAGCTTAAACGACAATTTGAGTTAAAATTATTGCTATTTATAAGTAAATTTACTTTGTTTATATCTATTAAACTTAGGAATCTATCTTCTCTGACTGGATTAAAAAGCTTGATACGCAAATGCAAAAAAATCATCGACAAATTCTTCTTCTCTTAGACAATGCCCCATGCCATAAAATTTCTCAAGAGTTTAGTAACATTACTATTCACTTTCTCCCGCCAAGAACCACTAGTATACTTCAACCACTGGATGCAGGTATAATCCGATCGTGCAAGGCTAAATATAAGCGTATGTTTATACAAAATCGCGTTGACGCTTATGACAATGCTATGGATAATGATACCGAGATAGAAACGTTTACTTTGAAAGATGCAATTTATATGATCGCAGATGCGTGGGATTGTGTAACTCAGGAGACTATTAAAAATTGCTGGCAGAAAACGGGCATCCTGCCGATTACGAATTCATCTCCGTGTTGGCTCACAATACCACAGAAACTGAACAAGATACAATAGATATTCTTTTCGAGAGATTGCCATATGAAAGTAACATGACTGCTGAAGGTATGAGACGTTGTGTTATTAACCAACGATACTAATACTAATTTATTGAATTTGTTAAATCAAAGAATTTGTTTGTTGTGACGAGTCAATTGCAATTGCTGATATGGTAAACGATGACGACATTATTGAAATAGTCCTATCCGAGAGTAATGAACAAGATACAAATGATTGTAATAATGACAGTGAAGTCAGTGAGACTCCGAAAAAGATTTCGTTTGAGGCAGCATTGACCGCTCTTAAAACAATGACCGAATTTATTGAACAGCAGCCAGATAATTCATTAGTTGCACGAGAAGACGTGGTTAACTTACAGCGTTTACGTCGTAATATTGAATTAAGCAGAGTGGAAAATCTTAGGCAAGAGGTTTTAGATCG